GTTTTTCTCTGGTGTACGTCAGACTTAGAGGACGGACAGGTCCAGCTTGAAGACACGTCAGAGCCCAGATATTCTTAGCAGGAGTGCTTCGCAGACAGAGTAGAAGAAGAAGTCGAAGCCTAGTCTTTTCTTTTATTAGTTGATGATCCCAGTTTACTTTTGTAGTTTTTTCTATTTCCGTTTATCGATGTATTTTTATATCTCTTCAGCTTCAGTTGGACTGTTTTGTAATAAGAGCATGTTTGACCCAAACTTTGTGACTCGGATGATATTCCATTTATGATATGATTCTTTTCTATTCTGAGTTGTTTATTATATTCTTGCTAATTGTGATCGGGGACCTGTGACTTCACATTTTATATTGCTTGACGCTTAGCGTATTAGGTTGAGAAGAAATGGTCTTTTATTTATTCTCCTCCATCTAATATGTCGCGAGCTTGTTCACGTTCTGATTCCCTGCTATTTTGGGAAGCGGGGCGTGACACTCCGCCCTTTTACGATTTGCTACCTGTGCAGGGAGGAACAACCCATCTCAGAACTAGACATTCGGAGGATTAGAGGACCTCCATCAACCAATTAACTTCGATCTCATTGACTGTTTGATATCAGTCATCAACACAAATAGACCCCCTTAGTATCGGTCAATTGCAGATAGACTCCCTGCATTTCTATTTGCGAATGGACCTCTTAGGTGAATTTTTTTTGCTCTTAAAAGATTCAATAAAATTTTTGAGGACGTGGATAGACCTCTTGTAGTTCTATTGGTTAGGATAATCCTCAATTATTAATATTTTTTTACTCTTAAAAAAGTCGAAAACGTTCATTAAGGTGTACATCTGCACTTTGGTGCAAATACCACAATGGGTCTTATCACACAAATAGAACTACAATGGGTCTATACCACCAGTTGAGTGATTTGACATGGGGTATATTCGCAAGTAACACTTAGAAAATGCTATAGATAATTTTAAAAAGAAAAATACCTTAGGGACCCTAAAATAGGGGACCCTGAGTGGGACAGGTGAGATGTCGCCTCCTTTTCCCGTGATGTACTGTTCATAAACAGTACATCATGGGACAAGAATGTGACACCTCACATGTCCTACTCAGGGTCCCCTATTTTGGGGTCCCTGTAGCAGCACTCTTTTAAAAAAGGTTGAACACATTTTCCATTCATTAAACTTCAATAATCAATCTAAAAAATTCAAAATTTACTTTTATTTATTTTCTTTTTTTGTGTGTGGTCAGAATGATTAGTTTAAATCATATATATATTTTCATTTAAAACTATAAAGAGAATTATTTTGAACTCCATATACTTATGTGAAAAAAATATTCGCTACAATATTTTAAGTTGACATTTTCATGTTCGAAAGACTCTACTCCAAGAACCCAAATTTATGAGGATACATTACACAGTTGCATATTTTAAAATTTATATATCAAAAACTCTGGATTATGTTTTTGAATGAATTTAAACTTCAAGGTATCAAAGTAGGGTTTTAAAGTAACTCTTTGTCTTATTCATAAATACTAGTGTGAACATCGTGCAAAGCACGACATTTTTGTTTCCGCTAAAGTAATCCCGGTTTTAACTGCTACAGTATTTTTTGAATTTTTGAATTGCTAAAAGATTTTTTGAATTGCTACAATATCCCACATCTGCTACAGTATTCCCGTGTGCTACGATAGTATTTTTTCAAAAAACCCACAATGTCCAGTTTCATGTTTGCTACAGTAATAATACTACAGAAAATATTAATGTAATATTTAATGTAGCATGAATAGTAAATCTTGAGTTATCCCATTTGTGTAGAAGAGTAGATTAAAATAAACAATTTTGAGTCTATTGCACGTGCAGTAATTCCATAGCCCAGCCCAACCCCCAAGTCTTCGGTTTATGGGCCTCTTTTTCCAAAAAAAAAGGCCAACATTTTGACCCCCACTTAACGTAAGCTGATATATCAATGTGGAAGCTGGCAAAGGTGGTCGTTTTTGTTCATCTCCATATGTTGTTTTATCTTTCCCTTCTTTTCTTCTGCACAATCACAAGAAATGAGAAATACCTACGGCTTAAGAGAAACCAATTCACATGAAGGAACAGCTGAAACTCTCTACTGTGCTATTCGGATGCTACGATACAACAGACACCTACTAATGCAAGAGGCGAACAGTAAAGAAATTATGCCCACCAAAATACTTGGTAAATTACAGTTGGTGTTATATAGCAACAAGCACAAACCACGTACCGACAAAAGAAAGCAAAAAAGAAATAGAGAACAATAACAAAAATGCAGAGGTTTACGGGTTCATTAATCAATACATCCTCGGTGTATAATCAGATCACGATTCCCCTAATGATCAACAAAGATTACAATCAACAAAGATTACAATCAACCTCTCGAGGACTTGCACAAATTATGGCGTACACACAAAATATGCTCGTTGGCATCATTACAAACGTTGACATTTGGATAGTTTCAAAATTATCCAGCGCACCACTCAACACAGCTTTCTCTCAGTTCACAACTAAAGAAACACAGAAAAAACTAATACCTAACCTAAAATATCAAGTAAAAACCAACTGCCATTTTGATCTTAACTAGAACCTCTCAACTAAAAGAAATCAAATCCTCAAAAAAGTAAAATCGGATGAACCTAAACTTCTTCTTCGTCATGCATCGATAGCTAAACAGAATTGAAAATGATGGTAGTGAAGAAGACATCATGGTTGAAGGTGACTATCCACAAAAGAGAATTTCTATCGGTGACGAACGAAGAAAAACGAGAAATTGTACCGGGTTCCTATTATATGTAAGTGGAAGGACAAGAAGTTGATGAAGCTCAACAACATTCCTCAGTTAAAAATGACAATGCAATTCATGCACAGAAAAAGCTCCTCAAACTCCCAGCATTCTGAGAACTATGTTTGGTAGTATTTGTTTACAGGGAGGAGTTTTTTCCTAGAGATTACAATTAACCACAAGTGGCCAAGCATGATTTGAATATCGAAAGACAGAACCGAAACAAGGGGATACAGCTAGGAATTGAGATATGAGTTCCAAGTCAGTCTTGGTTAACCCTAAGCACCAGATTATGTAGCTTACTGATGAGCTTTCCTGATCTCCACTCAGATACGAAGTACTTGAAAGCATTGCTACAAGTACAAAAACTTTTGAAGGAACCTTTTAAGAGTATCAAGGAAAATAAGAAACTTTACTTAAGTAATGCAGACATTTCATAAGTTCCCTCCAATGATTTGTAGGCATCTTTCTACCTAGATTAGCAGTAGTCCCATCCCATGCGCACGTGATTTACCAGACTAATCAAGGGATAATCACCAAGATGAAAAAGGAAAAGGAGAAGCTCCAGGATCTAAAATTTTTAGAATCAGGATAAAAAATGGAAATGGAATTTATTAAATACAAATTTAGATAATACATGAGTAAGTGATGGGCATATTTTTCACATCAACGACCAGAAACACCTAGGATTCACTACTTTTGCTCTATTGGATTAATTGTTTACCATGGTGGTGAAGCTTATGATTATGTTTTTAGAATTAAACAAGTGAGCTGGAGAAATACTTCTAGTTTATTATGTAGCCATAGAATGTCCACAAACACGAAGGACATTTACGCAACCCACTAAGCTTTATGAATCGAAGTTGCCACAAAATGAGCACAGCAAAAACAAGTCCACTAAGATTGTCAAGTGACAAACCGTTTAAAAGATATGTTAAGATGAGTACACCTATAAGGAGTTGGATTGAGCAAGGTGCAGTAGCTATTGGGCTGATAGGAGGGCATGTAGAGATTTTGGCAACAAGGTGAGGACAATGGCTGTGAGATTTGGGAATTCAGGGAGGATTGCTGTATATGTTTTAGGAAAGAGCCCAGTGGTTCAACCCCCATATGATATGCTATATAAAACTTATGTCGGTAGGGTTTGAGTTGAATGGTTCAATCTGACAAGAAATGAGCATTATAAGGAACCAAACCATTCAAATTCAGGCATTTAGCTCACTTACTTTGCTCAGACTGAATCATGCTTACCCTTAATTATATGCATTAATCTTACATAATGATTTAGTTCATTGTTTACCAAATGTCTTCAAGAAACTATAAACTGAAATCCCCTTATTCAATTGGAGGCCACACTGTACTCCAATGTACTTGATTCCCTCTCTGTCAGATAATCATACCAAGCATCGATAGGTACACTGACGAGATTTTGAAGAGCATGTCTTTAGCTTCCAAATATTTCATATATTGAACTTTAATGTCAAAATCATCCAAATATTTAACTTAACATTGTTCGTAAGGGTTTTGACGAAGTAACTCGAAGTATTAGAAAGGGTGAAACCTTGACCTCTGTCGCCATAAACCTTAACTAACGAAACATGAGCATCTTTGTCTTGCGGGGAATCTAGCTTCTGATGTAAAGAGAGCCCAAATATAGTGATTTGTAACATTCAGGCCCAACACAATGACAAAAACATGACCTTGATTACACACATTTCTAGGGTTCACTAACTAGCCTGCTCACCATCCACGGAATGCCTGGGTTTTTCCCAAAATTTTGTCCAATAAAACAAAAACCCAAAATAGAACACACTCAAAATCTAAACCACTCCCTCTCTTCTACCTCCCTCTTTATTGTCAATTGCTTATGTGATATTATCACTCTGTCTGCCCCACTTTATCTCTTCTAGTATCTCCCTATCTCCACATTCATCATCCCCACTGTAGAGAAGGACAACAACGATAAGAGAACTGCCTCTAACATTTTCTTCATTTATAGTTGCAAAATGTCAGATTTTTAATTCTTTACTTTCTTTAAGTGCGTATGTAACTTGAGAATCATATTTCTCATTCTCCATTATCATAGTATCTTTATACCTTCAGTTTCATGGGGGGAAAAGGGAAGCATAACTAAATCTGCGACGCTAAGATTTTCTCTCTAAATAAAAGAAAGAAGGAAAACAGCAACAGCAAGTATCACAAAACATATATCCTTCTGATTGCATTTTTATTTTTCAATTTAGGTGTTTCTTTTACATATCCTTCTGTTAAAAAAATATATATAAAACACTGGCAACCTCATGCATAGTGAAAACACAGTCTTGGATCAAAAAACAAACTACACTTATATAATAGATAAGTAGCACATGATCCCTACTCCAGATCAAGTGTGGATATGTTAAATACCTTATTCAGATAGAAAATGAAAGCAAATACAGACCAGTAACCAGTCTATCTATCACAAAGAAGCCAAAAGCCGAAAGGAGTAAAAACCTCAGAGGGCCTTGAGCATATCCTCAGCACTGCTGAAAGTGAAAGCACCTCCTTCCTCCAAATTCAGAACTTTAACAACCCCATCCTCAGCAAGCAGCGCGTATCGCCTTGACCTAACCCCGAGCCCCACCGGCTTATCACTAAGATCAAGCTCGACCCCAATCGCTCTCGTAAAGTCCCCATTTCCATCAGAGAGCATGAGCACCTCATCCCCAATCTTAAGGTCCTCCTTCCACGCCTTCATCACAAAGGCATCATTGACTGAGACGCAAGCAATCGTATCAACCCCCTTCGCCTTGAGCTCGCCGGCCTTTTCGACGAAACCCGGGAGGTGCTTTTGGGAACAGGTTGGGGTGAAGGCTCCAGGGACAGCGAAGATGATGGCTTTCTTGCCTTTGGTGAGGTCGGAGATGGTGATGGTTTGGAGTTCGTCGGCGGCATCGAGGTAGGAGAGGGCTGGCGTTCGGGAGCTTGTCGCGACGGAGAAGATAGGTGGTGGTCCGCGGCGGCGGGTGAGCTCGGCGGAGGTTTGCATGAGAAGCGAGGCAGGGAGTTTAGGCGTTTGCAGCGGATGAAAGGAGCTTCCGAGATCGGAAAAGATGAGGTTTTGGTGGTATGGCGAGTAAGCGGACGGTGAATATTGTGGCGGGGAGAGAGGGCAGTCTGGTGCGGGTCGAGGGAGAGCTGGCGGCGGCGGCGGGAGGCGGCGTGTGATTGTGGGTGTTCTTGGGGGCCAATTTCGGAATTTAGGGTTTTGGGATTCTGGGAGGAAAGAGAGATGAATTGAGAGGAGAGGGTTTTGAGTTAATACTCCGAGGAGATGGAAGACTTAGTCTGTGTATCATGTACCGGGAAGGGGTTTTTACTTGTAGACCCAAAGTTTGCTGCTGCTTTCTTTTCGGTACATAACCCCCTTCAAAGTTATCCTTAATCCCCAATTAACTTACTACTTATGAACCCTATTTCTGTATATCACTATTTATGTATATGTCTCGTGTAGCGGAAATGTAGTCGAAAAAATATACAATTGCGTCTCGTATAAACAAGATAGCATAAACCCTAAAAACTCCAGGAACAGAAAAACTTCTAAAATATAATAAGCAAGATAAAAATAAAACATAAAATCTGACCATTATAACGTATCGAAACAATTGCAAAATAACAAAACTAATATCCTAAAAAATATATAACTGATATAAAAAAGCAAAAAATAAAACTTCTATAGAAAATCTTAATGCATTGTCCTTTGTGATAATATATTCTAATTAGTATTCTATGGAGCGAGTCAAAAGATATGATCCTGCGAAGTCGTATGTTGAAATATGTTTGAAAAGTATGTTTTTTATTTCGATCGCCAAAATTCGCATGATCCAACTTCTCCCAAATAAGTATCATTTGTTGTCTCTGCATCAACGCCGTTTCACTTAAAAAATATGTAGTAATATAGTTTAAGCTACACCAAAATAATATAAGTAAGCATAATTATAGAAAATTAGATAAAATAGCAAAACAACAACTAAGAAATAAAAAAACACTAAGTTTAAAAGTAATTCATCATAATATGATGTGTTTAAGAGTGATTTCAAAAATGAGCGAGTACAAAACAAATCCGGGTAAGATTTTGGGTTTTTGAGCAAATTGGATGAACACGTCAGGGGGAGATATAAAACGATATTCTCCTGTTGACGGGTCGGGTCGAGTTTCGTGTGGGCTTTGAACGGACGGAGTGCACGAGGATTGCGATAAGCAAGGGACAAAAGGACAATGGCTGGTAGTAGTTCTGGGAGCTGCGCCTCAAATTCTCAGATTAGCTTATCGTCTCCTTTTTAATATTGGCCAGATTTTTCTCAACTATTTTATCTAATTATATAATCTCATTATTAAATTCACCGAAACTCTGGCTTGTCCCGGAGGGCTTATTTTTTTAATCATGTACCTTTTCGTAGCCAAGGACAGATCTATACGGTGAAGACGAGAAGTAGTTTGGAGGCACTTTGCCTCTATTTTTATTATAGGATATATAAAGATGTCCTGTCCCCCATACAATTTTAGTAAGTGTCACTAATCAAACAAAAGATGTGATTACGTAGGAGGTTAGAGGCTGTTTGGTTGCACACTTTTTGAGAAAACTTTTCTCAAAACATCTCACAATGGCAAATTTATAATTAAAAGTTTTCCAGAGATTTCTGTAAATTGTGTTTGGTTCAACAAAAAATTTACAGAAATATTTTCTATAAAATATCAAAATCTACCAAATTTTACAAAAAATAATTTCCTCTCAAAATGAGAGGAAATCACCAGAAATCTGACACATATCATATTTAATTAAAAACCTATCAAATCTTGTTATTTTCTATAAAGTTATGAGCTATTTTCTTGTTTTGAACCAAACAAGCAAAGTACAAAAAACAAGAAAATTGGTACTTTTTGATTTCTCAAAACTTTTCCTATAATTTTTTAAGAAATACAAGGAAATCATATTTTAGGTGGAAAACATTTCCTATAATTTCTAGAAATTGAACCAAACACCTAGTCAAATAGAACACAAAACTAAAATTAGGATAATTTGTGGGGGTAAATTTGTATAGTGTTAATCAACTAGAATTAAAACAAGAATAAAATTTTACAGTGTTAGTTAACTAGAGTTCTAACAAAACTAGAACTAAGATAATTGTACAAAATTGTCCCATATTTTTATTGTTCGATACAAAAATGAGAGTTCTAGTTTCTCAAATTATCCCAAATTTTAACTTAGAATATATGAGTGAAAAAGGAAAGAAAATGTGAAAAAATTGGACTTGTACTATAATAATTATTGAAAAATAAAAAAGCTACAACATATATTATAATATTAATTATCAATATCTTATAGTCTAATAAAAAATTAGCTAATAGTAAATAACATTCTCGTAAATAATTATCAATCAATAATAGTAAGTTTAAAGATACATAAATAGTATTTATATCCTCAAAATGCATAAATATATACTTCATGATTATAAAAATTTATTCCACATTGTTGATGTCAGTTATCTAACATAGGGTTTGAGAGTATATTAGGTGGGGTGTTAGGGTCTTCAAGCTTCTTCAGACAGCTAATTATCGAGCAAAAGTCCTACCCTACACATGAAAAACTCGTAAGAGGTCGGAATTGAGTTTTTCGGTGGTTCCTTCGACGATCAAGTCAGTTCAGAGTTTAAGTTGAGAAGAAGGAGATACGAGTTTTGGGGTTTTTCTAGGCAGAATTTTCTTTCCCTCAGCAACAAACAACATCTTCTTTTTATAGTAGATTCAAAGGAGCAAATGGGTAATTCTAGTTGAGTCCAAGCAAGCGGCTTAGTCAGCATCTGCTTTACAGGTATTGGCTGCAGATGCGGGTGAGTCATCCCTGCGTTTAATGTGAGAATGACTGAGTGTGCATAATGCTGACGAGGTCTAATGATTCATAAAGATTTTCGGGGCAAGAGCAATGATGACTCTGATCATGCATTTAATGTGATGGCAATCGAATGATAGCGGGGGGCTCGATGATACACCGCCTTTCGACTCATCTCTGTGGAGGTCGATTAGTACCATCTTTTTACTGCAGATGCGGGTGAGTCATCCCTGCGTTTAATGTGAGAATGACTGAGTGTGCATAATGCTGACGAGGTCTAATGATTCATAAAGATTTTCGGGGCAAGAGCAATGATGACTCTGATCATGCATTTAATGTGATGGCAATCGAATGATAGCGGGGGGCTCGATGATACACCGCCTTTCGACTCATCTCTGTGGAGGTCGATTAGTACCATCTTTTTAGTTGGCCTCGAAAGTTGTCGGACATAAATGGCCGAGTGCTGGGGGGAGTGGGGTCGCCACTGATAATATGCAGAGTGCAGATGCCTCTTGTCTTGATCTTGCAAGTAGGCCGACAAATATCACCTTTTTAGTCGGCATCGAAGGTTGTCGGCCTGCAAGAGCCTAGTGCTGAAGTCGCTTGAGTTGTTTCTTACCAAATAAGGCTAATTAGGCAAAGGTGGGACACATGCCGGTCTCTCACTGGGGATTAACACTTAGTTATTTGCATGATATAATGCACATTATTTTATCAAAATATCCTGCTTCACAAAATTATTCCTATTTATCCCACTAAAATATCTCACTACCAAAAAATTATTTTACTTTAACAATTATCCTTCTTTGCATGAAAATGTTCCAATTGACTAACACCTCGTAGAGAATAATTATGAAGGATAATAGTTGGAAAGTAGTGGTATGTGTTAGTCTTTGAGATGCATGCTCATGTATAATATGAAAATAATATTTAAAAAAGTATTAGGTTGAAATCTTTGTGATTGTTGTATAAATAAGATTTTTATATTGATAAAATTTATTTTATAAAATTTATTAATTTTATGTATATCTGTTATGTCATATGTGTCATCATTCCTTGTTGTGAGCTTTTACTTTTATGATAAGAGCTTTTTAAAACTTATCTAATCTAAAATTTCTATAAAAGTGGGTTGCTATGTTAAAACATTTCTCCCTAATATGCCCTCCAACACATCAATCCATGCATACATGAGACACATAAATACTTAATTTTTCATAAAGTCACCATTGACTACACATCCATCCATTCATACATACATGATGACACATTCATACTCAATTTTTCATAACCACCATCTTTATGACCATCAAAATTTCATTTAACCACATACTCATAACATTTATCTACTAACTCCTAACTCTAAATGTAACTTTCATCTTCTTATAACCCCAATCTTATTAAATCATATCACATTAAGACTACAATATTATAACAATATTATTTACTATAGTTAGATATATTTTATAAACTACAGTAAAACTATTAATAGTTACATTTTTGTACTAGACTTCAATATTTATATGTTAAGAATCTTTATATATATATTAGTAAACTATATATTATAGTTAGTATAAGATGTACATTAATTATCTTTGAGGGATGTACATTTATCTTACTTTTTTGTCACCTAAATATTATTATACATTTTTTACTCAACTTAGTCCAACTAAACCTTCCTCCACGTCCAATAAGTACTTAAGTCCAATTAACATCATTCAATAGTCCATGCATTTGATGTATAGAAATAACGCCAAGCTCTACACCACCCATCAAATTGTAATGTACATGTGCGTTAATTCAATTGGCACTTTTGAGACTATTATAAACCGCTAGAGATTCTTGTGAAAACTGTTAAAAAAAACTTAATTTCAAAATTGGATGCGTAGGTCATATAAGAGATAGAGATTCTTGTGAAAACTGTTAAAAAAAACTTAATTTCAAAATTGGATGCGTAGGTCATATAAGAGAGTTGTTTATATTTAAGATTTTGAAGAGGAGGAGGAGGATCAAAATTGGATGCGTAGGTCATATAAGAGAGTTGTTTATATTTAAGATTTTGAAGAGGAGGAGGAGGAGGATTATCAATTTGCTTACAAATCTATGGTAAGTCTTAGTTTTCATACCAAGAAATTGGTAGTATATTTATCCCACTAACTTCCTTGAGTCTGAATGAACTGATCACAATATTTTGATAATGGGTAAGAAATTCCAAGTTTCTTTGATAATAATCTCTTATATTTATATCCTACCGCAAGAGAGAAGTTTTTGTGACACTATTTGTTTTAGTATATATGCGTGAGTTCTTTGAAGGGGGTGAATGTCGTCGGAGGTGCCCAATCTGATGGAGGCTGAGACTCTAGGGAGAGGAGCGCATAGTAGTAAGAGGATGGAAACATTATGGATTTTGAGTTCTTTTGAGAGTGTTACTGTTTGGACGTTTTGTGGAGCTAATGTGCATTTGTTGTAGTGAGGTAATTATGTTCTGATTGACTCTTTGTATGTATACTCTTCATTGGGTAACAAGCAGTTCCTCTAATTAGTTTCATGTGGACTGGAATACATAGTGTTGTTTTACATAGTGTTGTCATAATTGATTGTGTATTATACACTTTTCATATTATAATTTTTTAGAGGCTTTTGCACAAATAATTATTGGAAGTTAGGTGGGTATATTGAAAAATAATCAGGGGCTATACCACTGAAAGGGAGAAAAAGGGTAAACATTTTGATCTTTGTGAAAATTGCCCAAAAGTGAAGGGGCCAACTGACTGATATTTTTAAAGTTCTGAAGGTTTATCTTAAAATGGGCCAAAGGATATGGTGTTATGTGAAATTGGTCTAATTTTGACTCTAAGACTTATTCCTTATATTTTATTCCAGCTAAGCATCATTTGAATTGCAGGCCTATAAAAATCATTCTCTATCTAAAAAAGGGCAAGATTTTAGAATTTAAGTTAAAAATTAGCATAAAACTACAAATTATTTCATTGAATTTCTTAGAATTAATGATAATGATTTTAATCCTAGGTAGTTGCCAACGCTAATAAATATTTAGCAATTAACAAAAGCACTGATATTAAAACTTATAGAGGTTACAAGAACCGTCAACGCAAGGAGACCATTGAAAATCGGTAGAATAGACAACATCATATCTCATGCATTCTCAAAAATTTTAAAGATTGATGTGTCAGAAAGTATTCGGTGATTTTCGTTCATAACACTAATAACGCATACAAAAATATCAATTTATTAATCACCGGACTAGAAGATTTGTGTGCTAATTCAACTTAACATTGAGTTGAAACTAACATGTTTGAAAGCCTCTCTCATGCATAAAATGATTAACCAATTTTTTTAACCATATTAAATGCATGCGTAAAAAGAACTTCAAAAGGGAACTTCTTAAGCATAGATATATCTATAAATGAGCATCATGATTATCCATTACACTTGCTATCCCTGTAATTTTTCTTAGCAAACATCAAGTGATTGGTGCTTTTTTGTATTTGAGATTTCTGAAATTACTCATGATAACCAATTAGATGGATAGTTCAGACACATAAAAAGTATCATCACAAAAGATAAACATAAAAATAAATACACGTGCAACGCACGTGCACTATACTAGTATGGATATAAAAGTCATCTGCGTGGTCAAGCCTAGATTATTTAAACAAGCTCATTAGCTAGTTTTTAAAAACAATTATACAACCCCAAAACTTTTAAATTGGCTTAGATACTAGCTTAGTAGAGATACTAAGAAACATGCAAATATCGATAAGCTAGCTTAAAAATTACTTTGATAAAAAGATAAAAAAAGATAAGCTCCTCCTCTCTCTAAAAATTATGAACTACTCAGGATCAAAACATTAACATAAATACATGACTCGTTTCACTTTCACATACATATTGTTGTTTTTTCACCTCTCATGGTTAGTATCTTATGTTTCAGTATGTATAATCTAATTAGAAAACTAATGAGAAAACTAATGAGTTCATGACAAATACTTTAGTTTTCTTGTGACTTAAATAGTTAGTTAATATTCTTATTAACTTTATGACATGAAATGAAACTCAATGAATGAATGGGTTTCCCTAAAAGAAAGGAAGGGAGGGAGAAAAAAAAAGTTTCCGTAAAATAAAGCAGATCAAATTCGCACTCAAATGTATGACTTCTAATCGAGAATGTGGTGTTTAAAAAGGAATATAAAATATATTTAATTTAATAGAATAAAAGGTATTCTAATTGGAAAAACATTACAAATTTAGTTTATAATTTCCAATATGCTCAATAGAATAAAAGCTAAGTAGTTCATAAAAATTATTATAAGTACGACATTTAGCTAATAATAATAATAATGCTGGCTATGGGGTTCGAACCCATGCGCATTTAGAATGCAGAAGATCTTAAGTCTTCCCCCTTAACAACTCGGGCAAACCAGCTACTTGTGTTAACCTTTAGCAAGTTTTTATTTATTACGAGTTATTGTCAAGTAGATAAGTAAGTTTTTTTTGGGTTATGGAAACCACCTTTAAAATAGCCTTTGAAGGTTTTTACTACAGAAATCATCTTATAAGTGATTTAGTTTTCAAAAAATACCAGACCATTTATATTCCATTTATACTTGAACTATCCAAAATATCCTCCTCCCTTTTTCCTCCTTGTCCACTCCTACGTGCTCATCGTCCTCCATTCTATCTATATCGTCCTCCTCCTCCAACACTCATGCTACTTGCTCATCCTCTATCTATTTTCATCTCTCCTCCACCACATCTCATCCCTCCTCGATCAATTCCTCATCCACCATCTATATCCTCTTCTAGCCATCCTCCTTTCTTTCTCTTCTTCCGGTCTCACCCTCCTCTCCAACATCAGCCATGGTCGGGGATGAGTTTAGGATTGTTCAACAAGGGGGCCTTGTGTGATAGTTGAACAAATAATATCAAACTTCGTATCAATTATATAATTCATCCGTGTTGATTTCAAAAAGATTGTTCTTTGTATATTTGACCATATAACGGGTATACCTCAGTGAAATTCCAGCGAAAGTTTAGAATGTAATTTATATATTATTCTCATTTAATCTTATCTAATTTTTTAATTATGAGGAGTTTGATTTGTAATTGAGAAAATTTTCTTAAATGAAATCCAAATTTTTATTGAATGTTAATCTTCACGAAATTTAAAGGAAAGAAAATTGAAATTTACTTCCGTGCACTACCACATAATTGACCTATTGCAGCGGTTAAGTTGCAACGGTTTTAACTGTTGCGTTAGATATCTATCCTATTGCAGCGGTTAAGTTGCAACGGTTTTAACTGTTGCGTTAGATATCTATCGTAACAGTTTGCAATGCCTAATACAACAATTTATAAAAAAACGTTATAACTGTTGCGTTAGATATCTATCGTAACAGTTTGCAATGCCTAATACAACAATTTATAAAAAAACGTTACCATAGGTCTAATAATTATTCCTGGGCTTAATAATTATTCCTGGGCTTAATAAATGTTTTTAAAGCCCATGTCCCTAACCGTTTAAACAAAATCTCTCTCTCTCTCTCTCTCAAATCCTCACGGAAATCCCTAAGCCAAAAATTTCCGCTCCCTACAATCGCCGTGGCGTCGTCGATCTCATCACTGAACTCGTCGCCATTTCATCTTGGATCTCATCTCCAATCTCCTCTCCGATATTATCTTCAAGGTCGAGCTACTCTCGTTGGTTCGATCTTTCGTACTGGAGATCGAAAGACCCCTCGATTTCAGGTTTTTTCTTCTTTTGATGCCTTCGTTTTCTCTAATTGCAGTTGTTTTAGCACGGAATTGTTCGATTCCGCTCTTGATTTAGGTCTTATGCGGGGACTGGAAACCCTAGCAGTCGTTTTGTTTTTGGGCCGAGATGATGACTGATTTAATGTTGATGTTATACGCCATAGCAGCAGCACAATTATAGCTTCTTCACGTTTGATATTTTCAACTTTACACATAAGTCTCTCTATTCATTCCATAACTTACCTATTTGATGTATTCCACCGCCTCAAACAAGTCTCTGGTTTTTGTTACTGCTATTATCTATTGTTAGGTTAGCGGTTTATTTATTTATTTATTTATTTAATACTTACGTGCATTTAATATTATTTGGATGTCCAAAGGAAAATATAGCTCGATAAATGTAGCATCTCTCTATTAGGTCCTATCAGAATAAATCAATCCTTCATTTATATTCTAAATACTAGATTATTAGTGTTTATTTAATAGAGGTATTACATTCTCACCCCCTTAAATAAATTTTGACCTCAAAATTTACATACCTTGCACTTCAAACAGATGGGGATATCTTTCTTTCATTTCCTCTTCACGTTCCCAAGTCGCTTCTTCATGAGAATGGTCCTCCCAAAAAACCTTTACTAGGGAGACAACCTTGAAATGTAGTATCTTTTCCTTTCGATCCAAAATTTGAACTAGTTCAATATATGTCAGATCTTCCCCAAATTCAAGTGGTTCATATTATAGGATATGTGATGGAAATGAGAGACAATATGTGTATTATGTAGTGCAAGGTTACAGCAAGAGTATTGTGTTTTAAAAAAATCAGATTCAGATCATTCTATACTATATGTTAAGGAAAGCCTCATTCTTGGTCTTTGTGAGCCACATTTTTAGAATTTCATAAATGCCTTCACACTTGAAAATTTGAACTGCAGATGATCTTACACTTGAATAAATCAGCTAAAATGTCCTCAACTTGCAAAATCAAAGGTAGCGATCTCTCATTTGAAACAAATCGTAGAAATGCCCTAAGACTTAAACAATTATAAAGAACTCAACAAAAATGCTTTAAAACCATCTATTTTCTTGACAATTCAACTACAACAATTCTCCAAGTTTGGCGTCATCCACGCATCACGTGTACCGGAGTACTAGTCCTTAAATCAAAAGCAGGGAATGAAGTATCAACTTTGACAGCTCAGAGGTACAAATTGCAACCTAAGTACTTTTATTCTAATTTATACCTAAGTAATTAGGCACATTGCCTAAACAATCTAGTATAATTAGGCAGATCTAATACTTGATTAAATTCCTAATACTGCGTGTATCATCTTTTATTTCTTAGGTCAAATTTTACAGTCAGGAATGAATACAGAGGTCCTCATTTTTCATGATGGCTTATGATGATGCTGAGGTCAATTAAGTAACCTGCCCTGCTTTAAGGCCATCTGCAACCCCTGACGATGCTATCTTTAGCTTGTGGGACAAAAATGGGGTTATTTTTCTCACTTCCTTCTCATTTTTAAATCACTGAAGTTAATTGGATACAGCTTCATCAAGCAAAAAGAACAAATCTAGGGATCCCCACCCTCTTCCCTCTGCGCCCATCATCATTATAAATTTGGGAAACAAACCCATGTAAGAAGCAAAGCCTGGAATCGAATTATACCTTCGATCCTTAATTTGGGTATGTTGATATTAAGTTTCTCATTATTTGTCAATTCTGCATATTTGTCAACTATCGCTTCTTTAACCCAGACCTTTCTTGGACACATGATGGAACTCTCAAGTGCCCTGGTTTTTTGAGATGGACACACATCCCTTCTTAAAAGCTAATGTGAAATGGTCTGCTTAAAAGTTTAGTGTATAGGTCTATAAAGCTGATTAATGGCATTACCTGATAAGAAGTTAATATTAGCACCACGATGGTGATATAATTTCATGATTGCTAAGTATTGTGAAGTGTATTCAATTATAGTGATTGTCAACATAACACTATCTAGTTCTTTGTCTAGACAATCTGTGAAGTTTGTGATGGATAACAGCTTCTTCCTCTGAAGTTAAATGTGAGTTTCTCAGTTAACTTTTTATTTACTTTTTGAATACGTAGTCTCCTATTATCCACCTTTAGCTGAGTTTATCATATTCAAGGCTTTGGGCTTTCAGCTCATGATCATCGATCTCCACAAAGTATAGCCCCTGACCCTATAAAAGTATGGGCATGCCTATTTTTAAATCAACACCATCATCAGCTTTAACTTTGTGTTGTGTGTTGATGCAAGGAATCAATGCCCATCCACTCCCAGGATGTCATTTTTCGGCCATAATGCGTCGAAAGCTCATCTAAACCATTATTTTCTTTTGAATATGCTTAACCATGGGTAAAATATGCAGGAACATAGGGAAAAAGAATTTAGGAAACAAGCTGGTATGAGCTGGTGTTATAAGAGAAGGAAGATAACAACGTAAGAAGACAATATTTCTTTGAAAAAAATAGTCCTACCGAAAAGAGACAGGTGCATAAATATTGAATTTCAATAGAGAACTTTAACTAAGGAATTTCCTAACCATGGTCTTTAGGATGCTGAAAAAGCTCAAGCTTGATAGAATGAGTGTCCACATATATAACAGAGACATCCAGTAGCTGATCTCGAATCTGCCCAAGTCTTCCCTTCAATAAATTGTTGTAGTAGACAACTGCATCATTATATGAAATCATGCATCCGTATATATCCAAGTCTGATGCATCGTGAGGGAGTTCTGTCAGAAATGCTGGGAAGCAACCGATGGGTGCAAGGTTCGCCACCAAGAATGTCCGTCCACCAAGTTTTCCCTCAGCTATGTATCACAGGCGCACTCTATCTGGCAATTGAACTTATATAAATGATGCTGAAACAATTTTTCATTCCTATTAAATATATTGTTGCATTGTAATCTTCATATGTATATCTTTAGGCGAGAAGCATAGATGGATATGCAATCCATGACATCTATTTCCTCAGCTATTTATTAGTAACAACTTCAGGGAATAGAGTTCCTGCTAGTATATCATATAAGATAGAAGCAGTCTTGACTGAGAGCTACTACTTGCCCTGCTTACTTTGCTATGTAGATCGCTTCCAGGAACCTGTATTGTCTAGCAAGTTGAACTAGATTCTCTTTTAGCTGGATAGCTCTATCTCCTATGGATCGTAGAATTTTACGCATATTGGTAGATTTTTGTGTTTCATGGATTGTAGAATCTATTTATGAGGTTTGTCCTTTTTAGATTTGTATGGTTTTTGGATTGTAGAATCTATGCATGAGGTTTCTAGTGAGTTGAACTAGATTTATCTTTTAGCTGGGTAGATTTATGTTCTATTGGATTGTAGAATTTTACGAATTTCAATAGATTTCTGTGTTTTATGGATTGTCGAATCTATTCATGAGGTTTATCCTCTCTAGATTTTTATGTTTTGTCAAATTAAGAATATATGCATGAGGTAAGTCTTGAACTAGATTTTCGTTTAGCTGGGTAGATTGATGTTGTATGGATTTGTTAAATCTATGCATGGGGTTTGTCCTTTACGATTCCTTCTTACAGGCGTAACACCTGTTAGTGTTTTTTTCACATTATATTTTCACCAAGTGATTTGCATGAGGAAGGACTCTAGGAGATGTCTGCATCAATGTTTTTAGTTCTCCTGAGCCAGTGTTTTGTTAGCTGATGCATTTTCTTGGCAGATTTGAATGTCTGAAGTGTTTTGAAAGAATAAGATACAGAAAATAGGGCTGAACGAAATAACTTACTCTACCATCTTTTTTTGTCAAATGTGTCTGTATTAATTCTGAAACTGAGAATTTTTTGCTCCTTTCATCACGCTTCTGGTACTCATGGATCAATATGTTCTCTTAACTTCCTTTTCAAACATCTTTTTTCCCCAATTTTATTATCATCATTGCAAAAATTATGCTGATTCATGGAAATTTACACAGGTACAGAAATGATGAAAGCCAAGATTGAGATTGATACTGACAGGTTCCTAGTGAGTATTTGACATTGAGGAACAAGTTTTTAGAAACAAATAGAGAATATAGTCTTTGACCGAGAAGTTTCATGTTTTGTAATCAAATGTTGATGTACATTGTTTGAATGTTAGTTCGGTACGATATTTTCTGAGTTGAAATGTTGGTAGTGTGGATTTAATACTTTGTAGTTTTTATACTATACTGATGTATGTTGGCACTTATCATTATGGTTGATTATGCTCAACATAATCACTTTTATATTGTGTATTAAAATTTGACTTGGCCATGTTCTTAAAAAGATTGTCCAGGTAATTGAATACTATAATTATTTTGACGTAGGAAACCAAGAACAGCTTCGATTGAGCAGTTGCAATAGCTCGATTAAAACCGTTGCGATAGCTCGATCAAAACCGCTGCGATAGCTCGATCCAAACTGTTGCGATAGCTCAATCCAAACTGTTGCGTTAGGTCTTTTAAAACTGTTACAATAGCTCCAACTGTCGCCGTAGCTCTATCAAAACCATAGCTATAGCCTACTAAAACCGTTGCGTTAGGTTTTTTAAAACTGTTGCAATAGCTCCAACTATCGCTGTAGCTCTATCAGAACCATAGCTATAGCCTACTAAAACCGTTGCATTAGATCTTTTAAACCTGGTTGTACGTATAGCTAAAAAAACCGGCTGCGTAGCCTTGAAGAACCGTCGGCAAATAGCTCAAATCCAAAACAAAGTCTTGTTAGTCCCGAACCGCTGCAGAATAAGCTTAAAAACCCGTCGCGAATAGCTTCAATCAAAAACCGTTGCAGATGGCTTAATAAACCCTGTTTTTAAAAAAAACCGCGTTGCGTAGGAGGCGGGGGGGCAACGGTTCAAAAAAACCGTTCGCAATAGAGTTCAAACCGGTTACCGGTATGAGGTAGGCAACGGCAAGATAGTGAGGCGGTTTAGAACGTCGCACTTGCTCAAGCGACGTTCCATGGCTACGCAACGGTTTTGAAACCCGTTGCGTAGAGCAAATATGTGGTCAGTGTGTTATACTCTCATTTAAATTTGTAAAGAGAATTGATGGTAATCTTAAAAGATGTAAAAAAGTTAACATATGTCATATCAATAAAAACAATAAAAATTTGACCTTGTTTGTCCTCACTAATCCTTAAAAGTTAAGAAAATGACATATATAACACCGTAACTTATATCCACCTAACAATCTTCATCAAAATTAAAAATTATTTTTAAGTAAAAAATAATTAAATATTACATTATAATATATATATAATAAGTAATATAATATATTAATATAATATAATTAAATAATCTCATATCATATATTATTTAAAATACGAATTAAAGAAAAAATGCATATAAGAGCCTCTCTACATAAAATCATAAACTAATTTTAGAAAAACTCTCCTCAAATATGAGAGGTGACTCATACCTACCCCCTCCCCCACCCGATTTTATTTTTATTTGAAAAAACGCTTCCTTAGATTTTAGTATATCGTAGATAATATCCTCAGCTATGAATATTTGAGATAAGCCCCCAAACTTTTCTCACTTAACTCTCCTCAAATGTGGGGTGTATCTCAGACCCCCTCAACTATTTTTATTTGAGAAATCCCCCTCAAGTTTGAGCCTACTGTAGATAACCCCACTCAAGTTTGAAATTCCATGAACTCTTCTAGCTTTACGCCCTGAAAGCTAATACTGTTATGTCTAGAACGCCACATGACAAGTAGGTAACTGAGAAAAGACCAAAATATGACCGGATCATAAAAAATTACTTTGGTTTTTTAAGGATAAGAGTAAGAGATGATAAAGAGGGGGAAAATATCGTAAACTAATCAATATCTTTTTTTGGTTGGGGGTTTCTTCGTAATTGAATGGATTAATTTTTAAAAGGGTTTTGTAATTATTTCACATTTTAAAATGACATTAGACGGATTTGGTGAGCAAAAAGTGAAAGATGTAATCATAATGTGAACGCGTCTTGTGGGGTCCACCCACGTGAAGGCAAGTGCGGACTTCTGCGTGAAGAGCCGGATCACGCGGACGGTTTTTTATTTCATCTTCGCATGAGGACACGAAGCCAAGCCGGCCCACCCGAATAATCACAAGGCTATATAAAGGAACAGTGTTCCTAGGGTTTTGATTGAGCAAGGCAGGTTTTGTTCGGTTGTTCTTTTCTTGTTCTCTTGTGCGGCTGCAGGTGCAAAAACAGAGGCTTCGGCTTTGGGTATTTTTCAACAGGAGATTTGTTTTGGTGCAGTCCTTTTGTGCAGCCTTTTGTAGAGAGATATTGTGAGGGATTTGAGAGTTTGTTTGAGGGTTTAGTTTGTGAGTGATTGTAAACCCTAGTTGTAATCTCTCCCTCTATTAGTAGATCTCCCCCCTCCTTGCCCCGTGGACGTAGGCAATTTACCGAACTACGTAAAAATTAGTTGTACTGCTTTTGTGTGATTTGTAATAGCTTTTTAGGATCCCTCGACAGGTCAGTCCTAGAACTGATGAGAGGAAGAGCCGATATCTCACTTGGTTGAGATATCCGCTTCAGATTCTTGTTTCCTTAGTGAGACGGGAATTCTTATTGCGATCTGACTCTCTTGTTGTGCTGCCGAAGTGCTGCCGAAATTTCCGCTGCGCGCAACAAGTGGTATCAGAGCCCAGATTTCAGATCTAGGGTTTTTTGGTGGAGGAAGATTCTTGTGTGAAGCTTAGTTCTTGGAGTTCTCGGCTTCGGTGGAGATAGTATTAGGAGTTGCCGTTGGAGATTTCGCTTTCCTCGTGTGGTTAGGAAATCTATTTGGAATCCAATCTAGGGTTCAGTTGGGTGGTTCCTAATTTCTATCAAATTTGTTATTTCTCTACAATTTTGGAGTTAGTTCGCAATGGGAGAAGAAGGTGAAAGCAGCAAATCGATGGCGAGTACAATACAAGTTGGTTTTCAGAACACTAAGATTAGTGTGGTGAAATATGACGGCAAAATCAACTTTGGTTTGTGGATGAGCGACGTACATGATGCGCTCAATGCTCAGAATTTGGAAGAGACCATTATGGTCCACGAAAGACCACCTAAATATGAAGAGGCGGTATGGGAGAAGATGAATAGGAACGCTTGTGGGGTGATCAAGTCCTGTTTAGAACAGGAGCTGAAATATGATGTGATTGGGGTGACGTCTTTTGAAGATGTGGGAAATTCTCAACAACAAGTATCTCACAAAGAGTGTTGAGAACAGATTACACTTGCTGCGAAGACTCTTCAGATTTTAGATGTCCAGAGGCACCTCGCTAGCGGCTCATGTGAACAACTATACGAAGTTGTTGTCGGACTTGGCGAATGTTGATGAGAAGATATCGGATGAGTACAAGGCGATTATTTTGTTGGGCTCCTTACCGGATGAGGAGTATGATACCTTCGTGCTCACTTTGTTGAACGAGAGATCTTCTATCAGCTATAGTGAAGTGACTAACGCATTGACGAACTACGATTTGAGGAGGAAGGATAAAGAGACTTCCCGCGCTAGTACTTCAGGCGAGGTCTTGTCGACGAGAGGTAGAAGCCCATATCCAAAAGGTGGTAATAGAGGAAGGTCAAAGTCAAGAAGCCGCCACCAATTAGCAAAGAACCAATGTGCATTCTGCAAGGAGCAAGGACATTGGAAGAGAGACTGCCCGAAGCTCAAGGAGAAAGAGAATGGCAAGAAAAAGGGCCCGAAGGCCAATGAGGTGAAAATTGCGAAAGGCGATGATTCCGATGATTCGTGCTTTTCTCTACTGATTACTCCGGAGGTGAACCATGTAAATGCATCAGATTGGATGCTTGATTCCGGCGCTACTTTTCATGTGACCCATAGGCGAGACTGGTTTGCATCTTTTGATAAAGTCGACGGGGGCGTTGTTGTCATGGGAAATGATCAATCCTGTGGTGTTTGTGGGATAGGTACCGTACGGATTAGGATGCACGATGGAGTAGTCCGTGAGTTGAAGGAGGTGAGATTTGTTCCTCAACTGAAGAAAAATCTTATCTCAGTTGGAGCTTTGGAGGCGAAGGGATTCAAGGTGACTTTCGAAAACGCTATAGCGAAGGTTACTAAGGGATCATTGGTGGTGATGAGGGGAGTCCGCAATCAAAATTTGTATTATCTGAAGGGAAGCACCGAGATTGGCCAGGTTGCTTCGGCTATTTCAGAAGCGGACATGAGCAGACTTTGGCACTATAGGTTGGGGCACACAGGTGAAAAGTCACTGCAGGCATTGTGTAAGCAGGGGCTATTGAAGGGAGCCAAGAGTGGGAAGATTGAGTTCTGTGAGCATTGTGTTCTTGGCAAGAAGACGAAGGTGAAGTTCGGGACTGCCATCATCAGACGAGGGGCATCCTGGATTACGTGCACACAGACGTTTAGGGTCCCACCAAGACTGCATCACTTGGTGGTCGACATTGGTTCGTCACGTTCGTTGATGACTATTCTAGGCGTTGTTGGGTGTACACCATGACGAAGAAGAGTGAATGTTAGACCCTAGAGGGGGAGTGGAAGAAGAGATTGGAACTGCAGACTGGGAGAAAGATCAAGACGTTGCGATCCGACAACGGTGGTGAGTATACTTCTGACCCCTTTCAGCAGCTATGTCGAGACGAGGGCATAGAGAGACACTTCACAGTTAGTCATACACCGCAGCAAAATGGGGTGGCAGAGAGGTTGAATCGGTCTTTACTGGAGAAGATCCGATGCTTATTGTCGCAGAGTGGTTTGGAGAAGATCTTTTGGGCTGAGGCACTTACATATGCGAGCCACCTCATTAATAGGCTGCCTTCATCTGCGATTGAGGGGAAAACCCCTATGGAGATGTGGTCGGGAAAGCCAGCACATGACTATGACCAGCTCAAGGTATTCGGGTGCCCTGCATATTATCATGTTAGAACTGATAAATTGGAACCTCGAGCTAGGAAGGCCATATTTGATCACAACCGGGTTTTCTACGTTCACCCGAACAACGTTTACACCTCACAGTATCGGTTTTCAACGCTCACCGATCAACGTCACTCCTCACAATCGGTTTTCTAGTTCACCGAAAACTTCACAACACACTCGGTTTCTAGATCACCGAAAACCTAACAATCTCACAATGTAACAAATATAAATTGTTCTCTAATATGGATGAGAACACAATAAAATCCCGCACTCAATGTTACAACTTTCACAACCCTAATATATTATGAATGCAAATACAATAAGCTCAAGTGGGTGTGTGTAAACAATGAGTGAA